TTTATGAGCAACCCCTGGAGAAGGTTCCTGGGTGAGGGTCCAGGGTGAGGCTCCATGGGACCACAGAAATCCCTAAGACCTGACCCTCGCCTATCCAGAGCCTACAGGGTTGGTCCACCATAGTCTCACTCACCCTGAAGTTAGGCTAAGCCTGGTAAGTAGCTGCAGAAGCCCTAGAACTTAAAACGAGTTGTATGGGGGCTTTGGGGGAGATTTGCATTTGCCGAGTGCACTCTGCCAAGTCTGCCGAGTGACTGAGCATTTATGCCTTGAAGGACCATCGTTGACAAGGATTTTTCTGAGCTGTGTTGCATCTTGGCCTGACCTGTGTTTGCCTTTGCTGGGGACAGTGCAGGGCCATTCTTAGGAATGATAATTTTTAGACCAGGCTATAATACAGGGTTGCCTTTGGCTCCTTTTAGAACTTTCTGGTGTCTTTTGAAACTATCTTAGGCTGCTGTGCTTGTGGAATTCTTAAGGTTGCTTTTTATAGCTTTTCTTGTTTCCTCCCATGGTTGTCAGCTTTTATTTCTTGCTATAGTTTGTCTGCAAGGTGGCAAGCAGCATCCTCTCACCCTTCTAATTTGCTGTGTCCTTGGGAACCAGAACACAAACCTCGCTGGAATTTACATAAACAGAGAATCAATAGACCCCAAGGTGGGGGTAGGGCTTGAAAGCAGGTCCCCAAGGCAGCTCCTCACACTTGAAGGGCATGAACACTGAGATGTGTGTTTTGATGATGCTAAGGAATTTTCTTCTGACTTGCTGCTAGATTTGGGAAGTGTTCCTCTGACATCCTATGCCTCTGTTTCTCTGCCCTGCATTGGGGGTGGGGTCGTGGGGACACAATGTTTTATGAGGAGCCGTTGACAAGGAGGAATCTGAGATGTGGTTGTTTACCAGCAACTCAGGTGCCTAAGTGTGAAAGATACAAGAAATGGGTGTTTGTTGTGGGCCAGGGAAAATTTTGCAAGGGAAAAATAGAAGGAAAGTGAGTGCTCACTGAAACATTTCTGCCAGACTAGACTGTTGAAATTTTTTTAGTGTGGTCTTTCAAACATACTGAAAAAGAAAAGTGAAATTAAATGAACCCCTGCGTTCAAACACCCTGTCTTAACAATCATGTTATCTGTAGTTATAGTATTAAAACTATATTAACTCTAGTTAATAATACTATGTTATATTATTAGTCCATTATATTATAATGATATTATAACTATTAACTATAGTTAATCATATTGTGTTATAGATTTGGAAGTTGCTGAGTAGATCTTAAAAGTTCTCTTCACAAAATAAATTTTATAACTGTGTGGTAGTGAATGTTAACTAGACCTTTCGAGGTGAACATTTTGCAATATATACAAATATTGAATTACCCGAAACTAATGGCAGTTATATCTCAATTAAAAAATCGTGTTACCATGTTGCCTGATTTAACTTCAGATTTTTAAAATAAGACGTCCCAAATATTAGAAGTCTGGTGATGGAGCACAGACTTGTAATGCAGATCCTGTCCTTCTCCGTTCTCCACAGACGCATCCACTGTCCAGAACTTAGCGTTGTTTCCTCTCATGCAGATTTTTATTCTTTCAGTATATATATTTTTATCCATCAATAATCAGTAGCATTCTTTTGCATAGGTAACTTCATGCAAGTATTACAACTTTGGACATGTTCTTCCACAACTTATATTTGTGAAATGTATTCATCTCGTCTCTGATTCATTCATTTTTCACGGATGTTCAGCAAGGGTTGGCAAACTATAGCCCCTGGACAAAATTTAGCCTACTACGTGTTTTTGTAAATAAAGTTTTATTGGACACAGTCATGTCCTTCCTTTAAGAATTTTCTATGGCTGCTTTGCATGACAATGGCAAAATTGAGTAAAGAGAGAGACAAAGGCTGAATGGTTAGCAAAGCCGAAATCATTTACTCTCTGGCCCTTTACAGGAAGAGTTAGCCAACCGTTACTGTAGAATTCTGCCTTAGCATTGTAGCACGTTGTACCCATTCACCTGTGGGTGAACATTTGGGTTATTTCTAATTTTATAAATTTTACAAACAATGCTTGAGTAAATAAACATTTTTGTTTGTTTGGGATTCTCCCTAGAGTGTATGGCTGGCAGTGAAATTGCTGGGCGGGAGAGCATATGTCCCCTAACTTTACCAGATATTACTGAATTGGTCTCCAAGGTGGATCCACCAATTTGCACGCCCACTGGTAGTCTATGAGACTTCCTCTCTTTCCGCTTCCTCACATACCTTAAAATATCAACAACCTGGTATTTTAAGACCTTAAGTTTGGCAAGTCTGATGCGGTTAAAGTGGCGCTTCATTATGGGTGACAGTCGACATTTTTTTTCGTTTTTTATTGACCATTTGCCATTATGGGAATTGCCCAAGAATATCCTTTGCCCATTTTCCTATTAAGTTGTTTGTCTTTTATCCTTCAGAGTTATGAAAGTTCTTTATATATTCTGGCTACTAGTCCTTTCGGTTTTATGCATTAACACCCACCAGTGACTTGGTTTTCAGCCAGTCTGAATTCTTTACCAGAGCTGTGTCTTAGTCCCCAAACCCCGAACTCCAACTGGTACCGGTCCTTGGCCTATAAGGAGCTAGACCGCAGAGCAGGGGCTGAGTGGCGAGTGAGCGAGCAACACTTCATCTGTATTTGCAGCCGCTCCCCAGCTCTGACATCACCGCCTCAGCTCCACCTCAGATGATCAGGCATTAGATTCTCATAGGAGCCCTGGTCTCTGGTGCCAAAAAGGTTGGAGACCACTGTCTTAAGGTATAGTCAGTCTTAGTACATCTTGAAGATATGAGTGATTTGTATATACACATATATACATATATTCACACATATTTGTAGTATGCATGTATGAACGTGTGTGTGCACACACATATATAAATGACTTATTTTTCTTGAGAAGGTCTGCAGCATCTAACTCTGTGAGATTTTAAGGCTGAAGAAAAGTAAATAATTGCTAGCACACAAGGTTGATCCAGCATAGCCTTCCCCACTACGGTGTTCACAGAGGCTTGCAACCACCGCATCTTGGAGCAATTAGTGTCTTCCCAAGGCTGTCTGTTTGAGCGAGCTGATTGTTGCTGATGCTTAGGCTGCATACTCGTGACCCACAAAGTCCCAGAGAAGCTGAAGGCCACCGTGGTGGGATGCGACGGGTTTGGAGGGCTGCCTTGGACAGAAACCGAATGTGATTTGTGGTTTTGGGTTTCCCCATTTTGGTTTTGGCTGAAGTCAGACCTTGGTTTCAGCTTAATCAAATTGAACCATTCTCTGGCCCACAGCAATTTAAATAATTAAAACTTCATTTTCAGGCCAGACTACTTTCGTTTGACTTTGTACTGGTCCATCATCTTCAAAACTAGGAACACTGGCTTTCCCTATCCCCCTACCTCCTCTGACCTTTCAAATCAAACTTTCTGAGTTGAATAGTTAAAAAATAACTTTGCAATCCTTCAGGTTTACGGAGCCCTGTGAAATTTACAGTCCTCGCAGCCATGGTTTCTGTGTATCTTAACAATAGCTCAGTGAAGCATACGGGGAAGATCTATGACAGCTGCCATCTTGCAGTTAAGGACCACTGAGAGACTCTGCAGCTGACTTGCCCTTGATCCTATAGCAATCCTCTGTGCTGGGCCTCGCGCCCGCTCTAGTGCTCTTCCCACAATGTGTAATTCAGGGGTGGGCTCAGTTCCTCACCCAAGATCCAGGATGCCCCCTCTTCATCATCACCAATATCTCTCCTTCAGAGAGGGTCATCCTCTGGGGGACCGAGACAGACATAACTGGGGGAGCACATCTAATAATCCGAGACCGTGCTACGTGTCAGACTCTGCGCTATACATTTTGTTACACGTCATCTCAGTTGATGCTCAAATTAATGCTGTAAGTAGCAGGAGCAGCTTGGTGGGCCTGCGACCAGCACAGCCACACAGGGCTCGTGCTTAACTTAGAAGAGTGCCATGCTTGGTTTTATGCCCTGCTTCATCTGTATTTAAATAATTTTTGAACAGTTGGCCCCACATTTTTTTCAGTTTGTACTGGGCCCTGCAAATTATGTAGCTGGTCCTGTCTACAGATCCAGAAACCGAGGCTCGAGAGGTGAAGTAATTTGCCCAAGATTATACAGCTAATAACTGGCAGAGCTGGGACTGGAGTAATTTCTACTTTGCCACTTCATTTATTAAAAATAGAGCCCTGGAAAAGCCTTCTTTGAATTGCACTGCAAGGAACAGGGAAGCGAGGTAAATTGCGCTATAGAAATACTGATTTTCCATGGAGATTTGCTTATAAGTAGTTTATGGTGACCTCACACTGGCCAGTTTCCAGCCTTGTCTTTGATGGGGGGGATCATATCTGTCATTTCTTTTAAGGTTCCTGAAGGTTCCTGGAATAGGAACCCTGACAGGCTGACCAAGTGGGTTAATGGGCTTCTTTGGTTGCAAAGAAGAAATTGAGACCACTGAGTTTACTTGGTGAGCCATAAAAATACAGGAGGAATAGCTATTGGACCAGATGATGCCATCACCTCCTCAGTGACAGACGTTCCTGGATCCCTGATCAGCTGCTCCTTCTTGCTTTGCTTTTCTCTATGTATCTCTTTTGCTTCATCCATTCCACTCTCAGCTCTCCTGAGACTTTCAGGTTTGCCCAGGCCCCTCAAAGGCTGCTGGCCTGCCTAGAGGTTGACCACCTGGGGCGAGGCGCTGCCCTCTGGCCATGTGGGTATGGTTATAGGATATCAGCATGGTGACTTGGGGTAAGGGGCTTTGAGAATGAGGCAGAGTGAGTCTTGCCTGTTCAGGTCATTGGCTGGCTAATGTTCCAGGACGGGCTCTGAGTCAGCCATCGTAGGTGATGAGCTCACTGCTTCCTGAGCAGGACACACTCCTGGCTGGAGAACCTTTTGGGGTGTCCCGTGGGGACTTACTGGCCTCCCTGATGACCTGGCTCTGTTTTCCTCTCACAGCAGCAAACCCTCTGCTTTGCTCCACTGCCCGTTACCACTGCAAGAACGGCCTCTGCATTGACAAGAGCTTCATTTGCGACGGGCAAAATAACTGTCAGGACAACAGCGACGAGGAAAGCTGCGAAAGTTCTCAAGGTAGGAGACGCCCGAGCACTAAGAAATGATTGCAACACCACACCACAGTAGCGCCGAAGGGAGGAAACAGCACCCATACCCACCTCCAGATACAACAGCTGTCTTAACTTTTGCACTTTACCTTGCAGTCCTTGTACCATGATTTTAACTATAATGCACCTACCGTTTTGTTTCCCTCATGTCTTAAATATCAAATATATATTTTCTCTTCAATATTGAAATTTGCCCCCGCTGCCGTACACACTGTCATGGTGCTCCACTGTGGTTTTCTGAATTACTGCGTTGTTGGGGGCTATCGAGGTTGTTTCTTTCCATCGAATTACTCGTTCAGGGCAAATTCCGCCGAGTGTGACATCTGCGTGGTTCACGGCTCCACCTCGTCATACAGCTGTTTGAAATTATTATTATTATTTTTTACTTTACACGGCTGCTAGCATTGTGTGCACATGTCAGTTCCACTGTAACACCCCAGGCATTCTATGCCGTTCCATTTTTCCCGTGTTTGCTAATTTGGTAGTCATAGAACGATAGTTCTCCAAATGCTTTAATTTGCATTCTCTGATTATGAGCAAAGTTAACATTTTCCCCCATGTGTTTGTTTACTACTTTGTTTCCTCTTGTGTGAATCGCCTACTCATATCAGGGCTCTTGGTCTCAGAGCTATTTTCTGGAAGCTGAAGGATGCAGTTGGAGGATGGAAAGATGAGCCTTTTAGGGAACTCAGAAGGATGCAGTGGGGTCATATCCTCTCTCGTGAAAACCAACCGGGTACATTTCTTATTGACTCCTTTCCAGTAAACATGTATTTTCTTCAGCGGCGAGAGGAAAATGCAAAGATTTAAAAATGTTCGTCCATTTTAAGACATACTAAAACGTATATATTTCTGTTATAAACTGGTATCTGTATGCAGTCTTTTTTCACTTAATATTATATTGCTGTGATTCACCCCTATTATTATTTGTTGGTACAGTTCATTTTCTTGACTGTTATTCAGTATTCTACTGTTGTAAAGGTACCACAGTTTATAGGTTTAATAAAACTGTAAAAAAGAAAAGCCAGAGAAAGATGGTTAACTGGCTAACCCATTAGTTGGGAGATAGAATGCATGAGAGAAGCTCCATGAAGTTAGATGCAGGTTCTTTTCGAGGTCCTAGCTTTTATTTTGGTTGGCGTTTATTATGTTGTTAAAAATGAATGAATGAACAAATGTGTTATGAATAGACCACTGGCAAGAATGGGTCACAAACCAGGGATTATGATTGATCCAAATCTATACTCCTGAGGTCCATAGACAAGAAAATACAAAATGTACATGAGCATAGACTTTGCCAAAATGTGTGCAGAGAACAGCTCTGGGAGGTGAGTCTTGGATAAAATTTGCCTCTGATTGTCTTTGCCTAGAAAATCCCCTCCTTGAGTTTTTGCTTCAACAGAGGGTCTCAGAGTTTGAACCTCAGCAGCATCGGCATTGCGCAGGGAGTCCTTGGAAATGCAGAGCTAAGACTGCACTCCATATCAGCTGAATCAACTGGGGAGCAATCTGTGTTATCACAAGCCTCCCAGGTGATACGAATGCACTTTAAAGTCTGGCAACCACTGTTCTACACTGAGAGGTTTCTAATCTTGCCATTTGCCTAGGAATTTCTAAACTTCTTAGCCTTAGACAAAGTTACATTTTTATAAACTAAAAGTTATGCCAGTATACCTCCTGTGGCATGTGCCACCGGCAGTGATAGATTCCAAATGCAGGGAACAGTAGTCACAAAGTCAAGTAAATATTAGTATAGATAGGAGGGACTGAGGAAAATTTTCTGTAAATATTATTTCTTACGTAGTTTCTTATGTGTTTACTAGATTCACTTACAGTGCCCTGAGAGGTTCAGCAAAAGGCCTCCCAAGTCTAAAACTTGGAAGTTAGGGAGTTCATCCTGATGGTTTAGATAGTGCCTCTCCGCTTCACATGCCCATCTCAGCATTTTGCTGAGGCAGAGTTTTGCTTGCCCTGAAGAACTGTCCCTGGGTAGGCTGGTTAAATTAGTATTTCTAAATCCAGCTCATTTCTCTCTATCCATATTGTACTTTCATAATACAAACATGAGGTATAGGACAAGTTGGTGGTGGGCACATACACCTGAAGCAAATACCTTATTGGAGCAACCTTCCTTAGCATCTCAGCTTTGAGCCTTCCATACCCAAATGACAGTCCTCTTAGAAAGTAAGCTCTGTTTGCACATGCTCTCAGAAAACAAGTCCCATTAGGATGTGGGTAACAACTGTTGGTTGCCGTCAGTATAACAGCTTCCGAGCGAGGGTGCTTATTGTGAAAGGGTGCATTGTCCTTAGCTACCTAAGAATGGGAAGCCTGCCTTTTTTTTCTTGCCTCTTGAGTCCCAAAGAGTCCTACTGAGTAGCACAAAGTCCTGCACACAGTAGGTTTAATAAGTGCTAAAGAGTGGAAAAGATATCTTTGTCGGCTGTCATGTTATTAAGCTGTGTTCAACTTGTACCGTATGTGTTTTTAAGTTATATGAATTCAAGAACCCACAATCTGTTAAAATAATCATAGTAAGTATTATTATGATTGTTTAAATAAAGTAGATAATTCTGTTGTCCCCTCGGGGTAGCATGTCCTGCAGTGAGCATGAGATGGGGGCCCGCTGTCCCCTTGGCCACTCTGCAGTTCTGCATCCGTCTTATGATAGAACATCCCCCTGCTCCAAGTGTGACTCCAGTACTGAAGGGTATTCTTTCTTCCTATCAGGTAGCCTCTGAATGCAAACCAAAGTCTACGGCCATGCCACCCTGAACAAGCCCGATCCCATCTGATCTCGGAAGCTAAGCAGGGCTGGGCCTGGTTAGTACTTGGATGGGAGACTACCTAGGAAGACCAGGTGCTGTAGGTGTAAAAAATTAAAAAAATAAGAGATTGTAAGCTGACAAGGTCCTTGCAATCTGTGAGGTCAACCAAGGGTTGCCTCGCCTATAAATAAAAAATAAAAAAATAAATGCAAACCTATTCCTAATTTTGGTGCTTGAACAAAGGAACACCAGTGTACCAGTGCTGGAGGAAAACCTGTCACATGAGCTTTTGAGCCCCCGGGCTCCATGTGGTGTCTTACTGAAGAATTTCAGAGGCATCTCAACTAGACAATACATCATCTTGTACCACATCAGATTTGACCCACTGTCAACATTCTTCTAGCCTTACTATACACTGGGTACTGTGCTAAGCACCTTCTGTGCGCGAGCTCATTTAGTCAAAATGTATCCTGTCTGCTTCTGCCAGGCTGCCAGTCCTTGAAAAATACATCTTCGCTTTCAATTGATGTGGGAGAAGAAAATTATATTTTATAATGTTTATTTTGATGGAGTGGAGAAAACTGGCTCTGCGACAGGATATTTGGTGTTTGAAATACTTTTCTTCTGATATGAAGAGGGCACGGAGGAGTGGTGTCCCCACACTGGCGACAGCAGCTTGTGCACCGCTCCTGCCTTCTTCCCTCGTCCGACTTGGTTCCCTTCCTTCTCCTTGGCCTTTACAGCCGACCGCGAACTGTCAGGAATCGGAAGTGGGAATGGGACTGTGAAAGTAGTCATTACCATGCCTTTCTATTCCATATGGGATGTATTACACACCAGGGAACCCATTGAATTTTAATTAGGGCCTCATTGATTGGAAACATAAGCTGTTTACCAGGTAATTCCAAAAGAAGTGGCTTTGGAGCAGGCTTCATGTGGATTTTCTGTTGCCTAGGATGTCTCTTTGGGGGGTCGGGGTACATCTGAGGGTCAGCAGGTGCTGCCATGCACATGTGGGTGTGGCCAGCACTCAGATGACCTTAAATATGTTTAATTCAATCCTAATTAAACGGATTCTTTCCCGCTTTGGATAAATGACTAAATGTGGCAGGCAGCCTTTAAAGGTCCCCACCCCTTGGGGTACACTCCCCGGTATAATCCTAATAACCCTTTGAACACGATCTGGACTTTGTGACTTGCTTTTTTTTAAAAAAAAAAAAAAGGTGGCAAAATACACGTAACATAAAATGTACTATCCTAACCATTTTTAAGGGTACAGTTTGGTAGTGTTGAAGTATATTCACATTGTTATATGCCTATCTCCAGAACTTTTTCATCTTGCAAAACTGAAACTCTGTACCCATTATATAACACCCCTCCCCCACCAATTCTCTCTGCCCTCCCTCCCACCACCCCCCCAGCCCCTGGCAACCACTGTTCTTTCTGTCTCTATGAATTTGACTACTCTAGATACCTCATGTAAGGGTAATCTTACAGTAGTTGTCTTTTTCTGACTGATTTATTTTTCACTTAGCCTAATGCCTTCAAGTTTCATCCACATTGTAACATGTGTCAGATTTCCTTCCTTTTTAATTAAGGCTGAATAATACTCCATTGTATGTCTGTACCGCATTTTGTTTATCCATTCATCTGTTGATGAACGCTTGAGTTGCTTCCACCTTTTGGCTATGGTGAATAATGCTGCTGTGAACATAGATGTACAAATTGTGACTTGCTTTTAACAAAGAGAATAGCATCAAAAGTGATGGGATGTCAGTTCCATGATTAGATTACAAAAGACTCTGGCGTCTGTTTTGCTTACTCTCTTTCTCGTTCGTGCTGATGGAAGCCAGCTGCCATGTTTTAAGCTGCCCTATCGATAGGCCCATGTGACAAGGACCTGGGGAGGGCCCTGACCAGAGCCACTGGAAAACTAAGGCCTGCCTTTAGCCACCTGCGCGAGTTTGGAAGCGTCTCCTCCTCTGGTCCAGCTATCTGAGCTATCTGAGGCCCTAGCAGACACCTTGAGTGTAGCCCTATAAGAGGCCTTGAGTGAGACCTAAGCTCCTCCTGGATTTCTGATAGAAACTGTGAGATAATAAACATTTGGGTTGTTTTTTTTTTAAGTCTCTGAGTTTTGGGTTATGTGGTAAGTAGTCAGTAATAGATAACTTATACACTGAATACCTCTCAAGTGGAC